TCCTGGGAGTGAAAGAGTAAATAATAACAAGAACACTATTATTACCATGCTGCAATTTCTGTCTGATTGTAAATACATTGCAGGTCACGTTACCAATCCAAAACGAAGGTATACAGGTATAGATGGATCATTAAATCCATTCTGGTACATACTGGACGATGCCTACTTTACAACTGAGAACTTTATTGCATATATACCTAATTCTTGTGGTGGTTGTTGATCTTTCATTTTCTTTTTGTCTGGCGGCAATGGAATAAGTGACTCCAAAGCCTGTTGTGGGACTAAAACTGCTGTTGCTGAAACCTCAGTCACCAGCTAAAGATTAAAATACATGTTGTTAGATATCATGTTAAGTTGCTCTGATCATAACTTGACAATTGAAATCTAATAATTTATCAAACAGACCTTTTAGTGGAGCATGTGTTACGTAAGCAAAATAAAACAAAATTTTTTCCAGTAGAAAGAGACAAGAACCAGAAATGCATTTGTATTTGCAAGCTCCATAGACATCTCTATAAGTTTGCCTTAATCATTGCATGTCCAAGAGTTTACATTAAACAAAAATAATACCTTTATAAAATAATAATTATATCAAACCTAACAAACACAATACTTACTGATTCAATCAAAGCCAAAAGCCTTGATAAAGAAACTTCCTTTAACACAGATAACGTCTAAAACAAAGAAAGAGAGAATATAATCAAAAGATATTATATTCAATCATGATTCAAACATATTATCCACAAGACACCTCACTGGTAAACTAGTGAATGAGTAGATAACTTATTGAGGAACATGCCAGTTGAACACAAATCAACTATAAATAGCTAAAGGTTCAAACCAAGCCTATAAAAAGAGCCTTGGATGTCTTTCTTGTGCAGGTATCCAATAAATGCATTTAGTGGTCAATGCCCTTTCATAATTTGGGAATGAAATATACTGATTGAAATGATTTTTGCAATTGCATGCAACATCCTTACAGTCCATAACTTTATAAAAAAATTAACATTTTGCTGACAAACTACTTCACTTAATTTCAAGTTACCCTCAATTTAGAATTGGAGCACAATCCTTTAAGGACTTTCAGCATTGCCATGGTCTGTTCATCAGACCCACTGTTCAGCAAGGATACCACTCTTGGTAATTCACCTGTAGAAAACATTTATATTCAACAATTATTCACCGAAGGCGAGGTTAATATCGTCGAATAATCCCCGAGACAAAGTCAAGGGGATTATTCGACAATATTCACCGAACCTGAGGTGAATAATTGTTTTAGTATAATTTCAGAGCTGAACAACAGAGAAATTTTAAAATCATAACCTTTTTATTAGTAATATTTATTAACATTTTATTTTAACATTAATTTTTATATAAACCACGTGGAGCGGTTTATATAGCATCATATAAGGAACCACTCGACCAATCAGATTGCTGGAAACTCTTTGCTCAGCTCTGAAATTATACTAAAATGTTCTTATTAACCTGTTGGAGAGGCAGGGCACAGAAATTAAGGTGGCTCTCAGTCACAATGTATAGACTGAACACAAAGGAAAAAATTAGGATTCATAGTTTATATACAAGTCATGTAACAGACAAAGATGACAAAGTTGCAGAGAGAGGTATATTCAGCTCTGTTCTGGCTGTGTGTAATTTGCAATTTAACATTTTTTTCATTTCACTCATTATTCATTTGCACTATTTCAAGAGGTTATAGTAGAGATTGCTATAGATGACAAAAGTCAGAATATATAAGAACAGTAAATTACATGAATAATCTAAAGTAAAATGTGCACAGTGACCAAAGGAGCGCAAGCTTTCAAGTTGGCTACTGTCACGTGTAATTAACTGGTGTATCTTAACATTTACACAAGACTTACTTTACTTTAATTCTATATTTACACTAACCAAGGTATTTGTACACTATTAATATTGTAAACAAAGAGGAAAGAGAAATAAGTAAATAAGTAAAGAAATAAATTAAATTAAATTAAGTTAAAAGAAGGAAAAAGATAAAAAAAAAAATGAGAAATAATTTAAAGAAAGAATGAGGCGATTAATGCTAATCTAACCCCCAGAAGTGATTAACAAGTAACTTCTCCCCATAACATCCCTACATTATCCACCAAAAAGGTAATGAGAATGTGCAAACTTATCAGGTAGAAGTTGATATCCTCATAAACTCCAAAATAATTCTCCTTAGAAATTTACAAGGAAATGTGTGGTAGCTACAGGGGAGAGTTGGCAATCAGATCCTGGGAGTTATAAGGTTAAGAAAACAATTTCTTTTCATGTGGAAGGGCTTCAATGACTGATGCATATGAAAACTAGTCATTTGTCCAATTAACACATTTTAAAAACAAATTTAACGAACAAAGACTTGAACTTTTCATATAGCCAATTAAGTGCAGAAAAGCTTTCAAGTTTGGCCCACTATTGGGAACAACCACAAATTATAAGTAACTAATTAAATCTATTAAAGTGCATTGTACTTGAGAGAATAATTATAACAAAAACTGACCTCCTCTAAATATCCTTTGAGCTCCTGGTTCATCATTAGCTAAAATCACGAGATTCTTAATAGCCTAGGATTATAGAAAACACCACACCATGAAAATCATCATCACCCATTTACTCACCGTCCATGACATTCCAGGCCAGGGGTCCATTTCTCAAAAATCCTGGTAACCTAACACGCTCATAAAGCTGTTCTGTTTTCATTCAAGATGGGGATTTCAAGCATTTTGAAAATGATACAATAACACTATCAGCTTAAGAAACAAAATGGACTGGTTTGAGTGCCAGAACCTGCTTTCCTATCCTTTAAATTTTGATTTTAAAACATGGTTTGGGGCCCATTAAGTTACTGAGACTTTTGAGAAATGGGACCCTGAAACACAATGTTGTAACATGTAAGTGATTAGCCCTTACTTGCTTTCTCTTCTCTTCATTTTCTTCCTTACTGAAAAGTGAGGTAAACATCTCACCCACAAGACCATCAGTGGTACGGCATCGATCAGTCTATAAAATAATGAAGGTTTGAAAGTTTTTTTTAATTCTAGTGAATCAATAAGCCATCAATCATGAGTCTGTGAAAGAAAATTGTCTACCAGGAATTGCACAAGGTGAGAAACACATGGAGATTTCCCCATACAATATATTTACATGTAGATTGGTCTACAAAATAATAAAAGTTTGAAAGTTTTTTAGTCTGGTGAATCAACAAGCCATGAATCATGAGTCTTTGAAAACAAAAATCATCTACCAGTAGTTGCACAGGGCAAGAAACACATGGAGATTTCTCCATACAATTATATATTATAATTTGGCTAACGCTCGAAACGTCAGCTTTTGTAATCATTACGGTGGCTAATTTACCATTTCAACTTTGTTGATATATCCAAATTATTTCGTTACTCCCACCAACGCAGCCCCAAACAGTTTCTTTCGAAACTTTCAGCCTTTATTCAATTATATATTATGTTGCAGGTAATTTTTTTTCTTAATTCTAAAGGTAAATTTAATTTTCCACTCTAGGTACAATTTTTTAACCTGGGTAATTTTGCACCACAATATTTTTTTCCTTTGCTATGGGGTAACTGACTCTTTTTATTGATAACAAAGATAGAGATATTGGGTTTTGCCAAGATAAGGATATAACAATCTGAGAGAGAGCAAGATTTTCCCTGCAATTAGCCTGATTTTGTCAGTTAGTCAATCAGAGGATTACATCTAGGGTAAGGGCTGGGGTTAAAGGTAAGGCTTAGGCTTAGGCTTAGGGTTAGGGCTAGGGTTCAGATGTACCAGCAGATTGAAGTAGAGAAAAAAAGGAGAGAGATTTTGAAAAAAAAAAAGATGGTTTGCTGTTACTATAATTAAAACACAACAAATATAAAAATAAACTTGAAAGCAGTTTTAACCGTGTCGTGTTGTTTTGCCATGTTGAAAATTGTGTTAGAATTGTTTCGCCTAAAATAAAAGAGTCAGTCACCCGTGGCGGTCACAGGTAGGAAAAAAATGAAATAGATCATCTTGTGTAATATCAAATGATGTACTTTACCACTAACAGCCTAGCATAACCTTTGTTCTTTAGGGTTCATACTATGTCTCACAGCTTAATGCTCAGACAGGAAAGGAATTAAAAAAGGGAAAAAAATTTTTAAAAGAAAATAATGGAATGTGTACTCTCAACACTTAACAAAGATGTTACAGCAAACACAGGTTGCCAAATTTGCAATTTTTTTCTGGAGATCAAGTTGCTGAAAGTTTCTCTTGGTTATTGACTCAGAGCATCATTATGTATCAGATCTTAAGGGACAAGGGAATTAAAAAGTTAATGAACATTTGAGAGTGTTTTATTAGTATATCTAAGATTAAGAACACCTTTGCTTGTAACTGGGCCCCAAGCCTCTTCAGAGTCTCCTGAACAATGGTATTCTGGAATGTGAATTGTTCAGTTTGTGTTAATTAATGGAAGCAACTTTAAACCAGTTCTGATATTGGTATGATTGGTTTGTGTGGAATTTGATATCATAGGTTGTACCTTTGGTTCAACATGAATGAGAGTCCTTGCATCACGGAATGCAGCCTCAAGTCTTCCGAGCTTTTCGTGTCCCTGGCATCTCCTTAAGAGGGCTTTTGTATCATTTGGTAACGCCTCCAGTGCTATCAGAATAAAAAAGATTGTAAAACATTCAAATGTTAAAAATTAAAATTTCAGTTGTCACCTTGATTAATCATAATTATAGGAACAAGATCAGAAAAATAAAAAGTGTAGATACAGCTGTAGTCTTGCTCTGAAGGAATGATATAATTTAATTTAATTTAATTTAATAATAAGTTCTTAATATAGCGCATTAAAATTGAACTCTATGCGCTTTACAATTACAATTAACAAAATTTCAATAAAAATCCTATACATGCAATTTTCGCTACTCTATCTAAACTAATGAATTATTACGTGTTATACATATATTTGACAAGGAACGATATCAAAAAATCTGGTGGCTTAATATATATATTAGTAACTGCAGTTCAGATATATGAATCCCATATTATATTCGTTGTTTGATTTATCATCTTACGGTTTCATGTCGAATTAATTTGATGACCTGCTCCCAGCTGGCTTGTTAGTTCAATTGGTAGAGCGCTGCACTCGTATCACAGAGGTCAGTGGTTCAGGCCTGAATTTTTTCACGTCTGATCTTCACTTTTGCTCATTAAGTAGTGTTCTTTACTGCCAGGATCATGCACTAATACGTTTTAATTTAATTAAATCATATTGTAATAATTAATTGTATTTTCAAATTTTCAATGATAAAATTTCAAAAAAAAATTCAAATAATTAAATAAAACCGACCCTCTGTTGCATCAGCTATAGCTTCTTCATATTTCTCCTGAAAATGAAAATAATTATCATATGATTAATCCTGTAACATATAAGAGTGACTAACATCTAATTTCTCCTAACAATATCACCGCTGAATCAAACAGTGGGGTCACAAGAATTAAGGGAATGATCACCAACTAAAGAAGCTCCATTAGCTCCCTGTTAGCTCCTCAGGAAATTTATAGAGAACAGTATTATGCATACTGATGTTCCCATGCAATTTGTGGAGAGGAGGATTTGAAATATGCAATTTAATTTGCTTATAGTCCACAACCGTAAAAGAGTTCAATTGTTCATGTTTTGTCTTTGACTTGCCTCAGTCATTTTATGCTATCCCAAGGAACTGAAAATCAGATTTCCAATCAAAGAAAAAAAAACATGGTCCATAACTTTAACACTTGAATTTCAACTTGCTTGCTATAAATCTACAGGTAAAACAAAAACTAGACCCATCAAAACAACAAGTACAAGTGTATAATACTCACAAGTTTCAAATAACAGGCTGCCCTGTTCTTCAGAATCACTCCCCTATCCTTCAGTTTCTCTTTATCCTTTTCCTCTGGTGTAAATGATTTGAGAGCTTGAGTATAACAAGCTGCTGCTAGTTCATACTTCTCTTCCTTGAAATGCTGATTTCCCTCTGTCTTGAGGTCAAGGGCACCTTTGTGCCCAGGATCCTTAGGATAAATTAACTCTCGGGTAAGGATTAAGTCTGTATATGAGACTAATTAGCATGATTGGGTAAAGGTAAAGAATCCAATCCTACCTACGCATTGGCCAATATGTCAGGTGACACACTACAAACACACCACCGACAAACTAACAACGCATCAGCTAACTGTTGGTGGACTGTTGGCTGATGCATTAGTAGCATTGGATTCTTTACCTCTACCCATGATCTGTAGAGTTCGCCATGTTTCTGTTCCATAAATGAACCATACCAGTATTGCTTATTATAATAAATAATAATACTATTAATTAATTAATTAATATTAATTGATAATAATATATAATATTATTATTATAAACAATTATTGGATGAGGTTTTTGTGATGTCCGGAATATCACGGTCGAGGTAAGTGTTATCAGCCTCAGCCTTCGTCTAAATCAGTCTAAATCCCACAGGGATCAACGAACGCTTTTCATTCCACTAATTTATTCTTGTTTTTCTTGCTGCCATGTTCCCACCAATAACGTAGCTCCATTTTCTGCCTTTAAAAGCACACACAACCCACAATTCCCCTATTTGCTCCGACGAAGGGCTAACGCTCAAAACGTCAGCTTTTGTAATCGTTCGGTGGCCAATTTACCATTTCAACTTTGTTGATATATCCAAACTAAATCTAAAGAAGGGTGTTATTTTCAGGAGGTGTGGTGCAGGAGGTCCTTTCGGGTGTGTTCCATTCAATAAATGAGAAACTGCTCTTCTATTACGTGAACACTGCGCCATTTTTAGAGGTCGAGATTCGTTGGCATTTTATCAAGTAGTAATTAACGTTCACATCGTTGGGGCTCGACAGAAGAAACAGTCTCCTTAAACCGAAATTTTTTTAATGAAATCAATCAGACAACTTTTAAAATATATGGTGAGATTCTGACCCATGCCAATGCTCTAGGAAGGGACTCCTGAAGCTGGTGTCCAGTATGACATCAATGTTATATTTGATAATCACAATCAGCATATCATGTATTTTTAATAATAAGACTAAACCACACTCAGTTATGTGACGATGATCACCCATCTCTGACTGCACGTGAAACCGATCGCATATCTGTTATCCTCTTTACACTCACTGTTTTCAAGCTGAAATTTCAGGAAGGGACTCCTAAAGCTAGTGTCCGGTATGACATCAATGTTATATTTGATAATCACAATCAGCAGATCATGTATTTTTAATAATAAGACTAAACCACACTTAAGTTATGTGATATGATCCCATCTCTGACTACACGTGAAACCGATCGCATATCTGTTATTATCTTTACACTCACTGTTTTCGAGCTGAAATTTCAGATCAAGCATATTACCTTTTCCATTACGATAAGATGAACTTGCTATGCTTCCTCGGCCACATCATCCGAAGAAATCTGTTTTTAAATCAATTAATTTCGTTAACTCCCACGACAAGTTGTCAAGTTTCAGTAACGAGTCAGCCACTACAGGGCCAACGATCCGAATATTTGTGTACAGCGGTGCTTTTGACTCATCATTTGCGCAAGGGTGTTTGTTTACATCAAATCAAGATGGCTGACGATGGGGAGATTACGATAGGAACTCCGCTCTCTTCAAAACGCTACGAACCCAGAAGTCCGGTATCGTTTATCGCTTCGCCGTTATATTTTCCGAATGAAATTACGCGTGTCCCTCTTCAACGCATACGATGCGGGAAACTTGACATTAAAAGCGAGGAACGATGGTTGGAATACCAACCGCAATCCAAACACTTGAGGTTCCTCCACAAAGACCGGAAACACCTAGACCACGAGCAGTGCACTCTCTTAGATTGTCAAAATATCTCTGCGGCTGATCTAAGAGTCAGTGCAAAGTTTGGCTACCTCGACCCAATGAAGGGAACTCTTATTGTTGAATGTCAAAACCTCGTACAAGGTGACAGTCCTCACTGCGGTGCTGGGGTTGCGTCATGTAGTTACGTCGTGGAGGCGACATTCCACGTTAACTACACGGGCCAAGTGAGAGATGTGCTTCGTTCTCTGCGGCATGCAAAGCTACTGGATTCTTCTGATGGTGAAACGCCGTCAAGGGAAGGAGAGGGGGAAAGAGCTGCCAGGGTTTGCCGCGAGAGGAAGTTGAGGGAAGGTCTTCCTGATTGGACACCGTATATTCCTCATCGCGTCTACTCACCCGCTGTACGAGGGTTAATCGAATCAGTGATCACGCTGTATACAATTTTTTCCATCTTGTGGGCGTTGTGGCAACTCCACCGCCATGTCGACTTCATACGTGCTTACATGCAGCCCATTATTGATGCGTTAAAGTATCATGTGCAACTCATGGACGAGTGCATTCACTTTTTAAACGGTTTGTTTGAAGAGTTGACTGAGCAATGGCTGGCCTATGTCAAACCAGGATATGTTATACTCTCTTCCTTTGCCTCTCCCCTGATTGCAGTTGGACGCGAAATGTGGTTTGCAGTTGTGAGCTTTTCAACTGCTTTTGCAGTGATTTTTCGACCTCTTTATCTCCTGTTCCAGCCAATTTTAAACATACTTCACATGGTGTTTATAAAGACTCCTTATGCTGTCTTCCAGCCAATGTTTTCTTTTGCATCAAAATGCTGGTCGTTGTTTTACAACACTGTGTTTTACCGTCTTGTTTTAACACAGATATCTAACATTAAACAGGTATTCATTTGGTTGGTGGAAATCCTTGAAAAGAGCATGAAACTTGATCCTTTTAAAGCGCAACTGGTATTAATGAGGTCCACCGTAATAAACAGCGGTAAAGCTCTGAGTCTTGGTCTGGTTTTTATATTTAAGAGCATTGAACGCAGAGTTTGGTTGATGATTGCAAGGCCTGTTGAGGACAAAGATGACTAATAGGGTGGCAGCAGTTTGTGGAATGCCATAATTACTCCATGCTCTAACAACAAATTGCATCTCATGAAATGACACTGTTGATATATTTACTACCATTATTGGTGAATTTGTCAAAACATTGTTGTGTTGTATCTTCCATTGTTTTGAAATTGGTAAATGTTGAGTGTATCAGTTTATCCAAAAATGATGAGAGTTGAAATTAAAAGTTGATATTTGACAAATGTTAATATAATATTATTGTAGGTGATCAAAAGTTATTTGTTATTCACTCCAAATAAAATATCGAGAGAAATGTTCAAGCTTCTTACAAATACAAATTTTCAAAACATACTCAGGTTTCAAGAATAGTTCAGTTGATTTAGTAAAACATTCAACATAACTTTCACAAAATAACATCTATCAGCTAAAACACAAATCTTGTATAGATGTGCTTTAGTATCAAAATTTAATAGAGTACTAGTAGGCAGTTCTCAGGCTTAATTTATGGCTGGTAGATCACAGATGATATGAAAACATATCACTTTCCATATCAATATATAATATATGATACATTTAACAAAAAAAATCACTGATTCAGAACCCTTTATTACTCCAATGAGTGATCAAGACATAATTTCTCCTTACATTAGCAATACAATATCAATAATAATAATAGTTTAATATTTGTAGTGCACAAATTCCATATACATGTGATCAAATGCGCATGAAGCGGCTAAGTGATGAGAATCAAGAAAAATATAAACTGGCAGATTAGTAGTTGATCCAATGCTTAATTCTTCAAACTAATATCATAAGAATTATGACGTGCTAAGGAGAATTACTATCGAGATCTTGCTCTAGTGCCGCTGGTGTCATTGTTACCTACATCACACATGCAGTGATGCTAAAATATCACAATACTAGCTATAATGTACTATTATCCAAATGTGCTCTGTAGAGTACAAGTAATGTGCAAGAAGAGTACAAATACCACACAATATTTGTGCTCCAGAAATATCCACAAAATTCACCTGCACTAAAGTAACAATTTGGCATGTTGGATAATACCCGGTAAATCTCTTATTAGACATTTTGTTTTGTAGTATCACTGAGTATTTTTACATTTTTTTTTTTTTGACTTGCCCTATGGGCTTGTCAAAATATGGCACAACTTATAAAAATACTCAGCGATACTTCACAACAAAACATTCGATAAGATATATTTACTAAGAAATAATGTTAACATTTACTAAGAAATAATGTTAATATTTACTAAGAAATAATGTCAAATTGTGATAATTTTATATACCATGATACTTGATGGAATCCATTTCTTTCATATTCTTAGGGTTTTGAAATGGTCTGAAGTGCTTATCTACAAAATCACAGTGATGTAGTATAGTTTAATTAAGTTAATATCAATCACAATGATTCTAGCAACTACAGGTTTTTCATTTAGTTCAAATGGTGCATGTAATGCGATGCATGGTCATTGGAGAAAAAATTACATTTAGATGTTGATATTTATTACATACATGGTATTATTTATTTTTTGAAATTATCGGGAACAATTTTTTAAATTTATCATACAACATGTAAAAATGTTGTAGGGGTCTTAGTACAACTTACAGTTTCAAATTACCTTAAAATATTTTTCAGTAGAAGCTTGCACTGAAAATGATTTGAAAACTTTGAATTAGAACTACTATGGTTGATACCTATTGTGATTATAATAGGACTGAAAAAGTCAGTGAACAATAAATATTGTGTGATCTGATCCTTGTCTATTAGAGTTAACAGGTTTTTGCGAATGAGTACCAATTGGGCAATGACAGTTAAACTTGTATTATTCCCTTATCTCCCTGAAGTGATTAACCTGTAACTTCTCCCTTTAATATCCATATAGGATCCAGCAAACGGGTAATGAGAATACTCAAACTTATCAGGTAGAAGCACGCATTCAGTCACTTAATCCATGTCCATCTCCTGAAATCAATGCTAGTGATATTTTTGAGAAAGTTTTTGTACATTATTTTAGTGGTCAAGTAAGGCATAAAATGACACTTTTTTTATTGTTTTTTTAATGCCCCTTTACTAGGGAAGTGGTATTAAGAGGTCACCCTGTCATTCCCCGTCATTCCCTGTCATTCCCCGTCATTCCCCACATGTGACCACTGAACACAGGTTGGATCTTGGACTGTACTCTAGCAAACAGGAATCTGTTTCTCTGTTTCAGTCCAAAAGTCTGAGCTGAGATTACTGTGCTCTTGCAAAAACATAAGTTTCATATATATAGAATACAAAACCTTACATTTTCAACCCATGATCCCCAATGCAACCCCAACCTGTTGCATCTCTTGGGGTTTCAGTCCCTCTCCCTAACTCCTTTCGTCCTGGATACCCGGTCATTGAACTCAGCGGTTTCTCTAACAAAATCTAACATGGCGGCCAAGAGCATGTCTCGTTCTTCGTTGGCTAATTTGAGAATTTGTGGGTCAGGTAAGTAAAAAATGTACATTTAAACCGCTTTGAGCTAAAAAAATTACTTGCCTTAGAAAATTTCGCTTAGATTAAACCATATTTCGACTTCCTCTTGTGACCGAATTAACCGACAGTCAGTGGTATTAATGGATTATACTTATTTTTTCTTCACTTATTTTCTAGGTGCTTTGAGGTGCCTTGAGAGAACAGGCAACTTTCAAGGGTCTATAAAGGAATCCCACTGCTTTCATTCAACTGGTGAGAAACTTCCGAGTCGAAATTTTTCTTCACGGGCAAGCTGTAAAGCTTTAGCTTTCCACGGCGATACAAATATAGAACATTATCCTTGTATTATTTCAATATACACCCCGCGCCCACTTCCCTCCTTGCACAGATGACAGGAAACTGAACTCTGAATTTCTTGTGGGCACTCTGTAAAAAAAATTACTTGCTAAGGGTTAATTTTTTCTGGTGACATCTTAAAAATATTTCTGAATATATGACCCAAATTTTGTCTGCTTCTTTGAGGAAATAAAGAAAATATACCCTTGCAGCAAAATCTCGCCATCTGCAGCAGGCGCACAGAGAACAAATCGAACAGTATGCCAAAATGTATTTCCTTCTACCTCCAAATTCATTATTAGAAACTGGCCAGAAAGTATCTAATGACTAGAACTTGAGCCTTGTTACAATGAAAAACTTTGAAAAATTACACATTAATCATTGAGTTGTTTCCACCTTACTACTAAATCCTGTAGCCCTTTTACTGAAAGCAAGAACAAGAAGTCAATGGAGAAAAGACAGAGCTCCAGCACTTACCAAGGTGATATTATGCTTCATGTTTTCAGGTTATGTAGGACTCATTTTCCTATAATCTTGTAAACCACATGTTTAAAGGCCCATTTCCATCCGAGATCCTTTGCAG